TGCGGGTAGAATTTGTATGGCGTTAAACGGTAGCTCGGTAGGGACCGAATACCGTGATACGTATGGTTGTACTATGGGGATGTTGCACGTTGTGTGCCATGTGTGTAGCTTGCTCGTGTGTACGAGTTAAGCGTGATTGTGTTTGTGGATGGTTGTGGACTCAACCATCACCGTCATGGACTTGACGGGCATTTGAGACGCGTTTAGTCGTGTGCGACACGACGGCCAACGTCATGGATTTGACGGGCGTGGACTCGCCCCTAGTCATGGATTTGACTAGGGTATATGGCTGGACCCTGTGGTGGACTCCACACGGATATGATTATATTTCCGTTGTGTTGTGGGCTCGACATCGGTAGTCACGAGAGTGACGGGCGCAGGAGACGTGCACGATCGCATGTGATGCGATGGCCAACGTCACGCGGGTGACGGGCGTGGATTCGCTCCTGGTCATGGATTTGGCCAGGGGATATGGCTAAGCCTTATGGTGGACTCCATACGGGCGTGTTTGTGTTTGCTATTGGTGTTTTCTTTATGGAAATGTCGACTGTACCGTTCTCGTTGGGAACGGGATTTCCGGGTTCAACCCGGGCTACTCACTAAGCAGTTGTGCTTAGCCCTCGTGGTTTACATTTTTCAGATCACGAGGATTACGTCTAGCGCATCCGGCAGACGACGACCTGAGAGAGGCAGCATCATGTACGGGATTTACATTTTGGGTGACGAGACTTGTATATCCCGCATTTTGTACGGTTAAATTATAACTATTCGGACATGTGTTATTTTGTGATACTGATCGCCCGTTGTATTTTTCGCTTCCACATTATTATTATTTTATTACTATTGTCCATGTGGCACAGCCCGTATACTGTACACGGGTTACGGGTGTCACATAGAGAATCGATTTACCCATCTCCCAATGATCTAAATGATCCCAATGTGAATAACTCACTCATTTGATATTTGGTTCCAAACATCATCCCCATATCCCTATGATCAATGTGTTCTAACATCACACCAACTAAGATTTCACCAAAGTTGATAGCATTAAGCACAAAACATCAAACCCATGGAAGAAAACTCATAAACATCATAGGTTAAGCATAGGTATTCATACAAAAGTGGGGATCCCTCACCCACAACAAAGTCACTACTCCATATCTACGGTTTCAAAACAGAAAGCAAAATGAAGAAACATAGAGAAGGAGAAGAAAAGCTCAAGATGGTCTTGAATGGTGGTCTTCTTCTTCTCCAAGCCTCCTAGATCTTCAAAATCTCTCTTTCCTCTTCTCCAAGTTGATTTTTCTCTCCAAATATGCAGCCCCCCTTCTCTCTCCTCAAACTCCTCTTTTAATGAAAGTGCAAAATTAGGTTTTCACCTCAAAGTTCGGGCTTTTCCTTTTTGGGCCGCATTTGATATCAGGCGGTCGCTCATTTTTTGTTCAGGGTCGCTCATTTTCTCCTTTTCAGGCGGTCGCTCATAATTTCAGACGGTCGCTCAGAAAATGGGCGGTCGCTCATAATTTCAGGCGGTCGCTCATTCTTCTCTGACACTTCCAATTCTGCGTTTTTATCCATTTTCAGGCGGTCGTCCATAAAACGGGCGACCCGCCTGAATTCTCTAAGCTCCCCGGGTCTTCCCGAAACCGTGCTCTTTCGTGCCACGCCCGTGAAAATTCTCATGGAATCGTCCTGCAAGGGAAAAACAAGCAAAAGAGCCTACCCATGGCCGACTAACATCCTATAATACCTAAAATGTATGAAGAATTGTAATGCACGACGTTAGAAAACCGGTAGAAAAACTGTGTGATCAGAAAGCATATAACGCGGCGCAAAGTGGTCCTGGTTCGGCTGACCAAAACTGGTCAGCTCCGGACCAGGTCTTCAGAGGGTCTTCTTCGGCTGAGTGGGAGCAGCGCTGGCGGACTGGCTTTTGGCATAGATGTTCTGGTCCGGCGGACCTGAATAAGTCAGCTCCTGACCAGTTATTCTTCGGGTCTGGTCAGGGGCTTCGGAGTACGCTGGCTAACTGAGGAAGCTCGTGATCCTGGTCTGGCTGACCAGAACTGGTCAGATCCGGACCAGGATTTGATTTCGTCTGGTTAGTTCGTCTTCAGCGTGGTTCGGCGGACTGGCTGAGCGCGACAATACACCTGGTCTGGCTGACCAAAATTGGTCAGCTCCAGACCAGGCCTTCTCTTTCGTCTGGTCAGGGCTTGGCTCAGCGCTGGGGACGGACTTGTGGACAATCTCCTGGTCCGCCGGACCAGGGTTGGCTAGGGGCGGACCAGGTGAACTCTGCGAACTTTCTGCGTCTTTTCTCCTCGGCCCGACCGGATGAACTGAGCAGACTTGGTCCGCCGGAGTGGAGTCTGGTCAGGGGCGGACCAATGGTCTGTTTTCTCTGATTCTCGCCGAATTTGTGCGTTATGCCCTCGGGGTCCTGTCAAAGTCAAGAAATATTCCCAAAACTCTAGAATGGCTCTAAAAATGACTAAGAATGTGTGGAAACCGTTTAGAAACCAAAGGCATACTCGTATAAAATCCAGATAAAATCCGAGCCATCACAAGACACTTCGATCAGATCGTGGTGGCGAGTATATGAGCCAAGAGTTCTCTGACTATCTGGTTGATTGTGTTTATGTACCACAATTAACTCCTCCTGGAAGGCCACAGTGGAATGGCGTGTCTGAACGGAGGAACCAAACACTGTTAGACATGGTTCGGTCGATGATGAGTCAGACAGATCTTCCAAAGTCCTTTCGGGGCTATGCTTTAGAGACCGATGTGTACCTGCTGAAGGAGACCACCGAGGTGATACGGAGGATTCGCGCCCATCTGAAAAACTCCTAAAAAACCTCTAACTTGCAAAAATATATACAAATAAACCTTCAACTTGAAAAATTGTCATTCAATCTCCGAACTTGTAATTTGTCACTTCATAAAACCTCAAACTTACAAATTATTGCTCTAATAAACCTTTGACCGGTTTGACCACAATTTCAAACGATCGGAAATCCACGTATTGACGGATTGCTGATATCATTTTTTAAATTAAAATTGATAACATGTATAAGGTGACATCAGCAATCCGTTAATACATGGATTTCCGATCGCCTGAAATTGTGGTCAAACCGGTCAAAGGTTTAATAGAGCAATAATTTGCAAGTTCGAGGTTTTATTCAGTGACAATTTACAAATTCGGGGATTGATTGACAATTTTTCAATTGAAGGTTTATTTATATATATTTTTGCAAGTCGGAGGTTTTTTAGGAGTTTTACCTATAAGATATGGACGGGGACGAGTCCCGCGTTGTCGTTTGTCAGAATTTGGGGTTGCCTTATAGGTTTTACCCTATACTTTGCCGCTACATCAGCCAACTGGAGAAGGCGGAACAAGGAAAAAAGGAAGAGAAGGAGGATCGAGTTCGAGATCGGAGTCCTTATAGGCGATTCTCTTACACCCGACCTCTGGGAAATACTGGTCAGGGTAGGCAGGCACGAGACAAGGGGAAAGCGCCAGTTGATCGTGCACTACCACCACCACCATCATAGCGAGGGCCGCTGACCTTCTTCCGATGCCAACAATCGGGACACTTTGCAGTCAACTTCACAGCAACCACAGAGGCATTGGCGGGGGGCAGACCGCCATGACCACCGCCGAGTGGCAATATGGGAGTTGAGTCAGAGACATAGGAAAAGGAGACCTATCCCGGAGATGAGGAAGTTGTTGCCATCACAGGTACTCTTCATCTTTGCGTGTTACATGTTATTTGATACTGGTGCTATCCACAGTTTCTTGAGCTTAGAAAAGGCAAAGAAACTGGGTATGGAGCAAGTAGACCTGAAGAGCGACTTTATGGTTCGCACACCATCAGGACAGACACTCCTGGTACATAGGATCTGACGAAGTGTATCGCTAGACATCTACGATCGTAACTTGGCCGCAAACCTCATAGTGGTAACAATTGGAGGTTATAACGTCATATTGGGTATGGATTGGCTGGTAAATCACCAAATTCAGATTGATTGTCAGAAGAGGATCATATGCTTTATGGATGTGAACTGCAGGTTTGAATTTCGGGGAACCATCGACAAACCAAGGAGCCGGAACGCAAATTAGAGGATACTCCAATTGCTCGAGAGTTTCCTGATGTCTTTCCCGATGATCTACCAGGATTACCGTCAAGTCGAGAGGTGCACTTCACCATTGACGTGCTACCGGTACTGAACCAATCACCAAGGTTCCGTAACCGGAAGGCACCGACAGAAATGGCGGAGTTGAAGGAACAGTTGAACGAATTGATGGAAAAGGGATTCATGCGCCCAAGCGTTTTGCCCTGGGGAGCGCTGGTGTTGTTGGTGAAGAAGAAGGACGTTGGCATGAGATTGTGCATTGACTAGCGTGACTTAACCAGGTGACTGTAAAAAATCGGTACCCATTATCGAAAATTGATTAGTTACTAGATCAACTTCCAGGGGCTAAGTAGTTCTCGAAGATCGATCTGCGATCTGGATACCACCAAATTCAGGTCAAGGCTGAGGACATACAGAAGACGACATTCCGGACTCGATATGGGCATTTTGAGTTTGTGATCATGCCATTTGGACTCACGAATGCTCCCGCAGTTTTTATGTAGTTGATGAATCGCATCTTCATGGATTACTTAGACGAGTTTGTCATCATATTCATCGATAACATTCTCATCTATTCACCAGATCTCCACACTCATGAAGAACACTTGCGGAAAACGCTGTGGAGATTGAGGGAGAACAAGCTCTATGTGAAGTTCAGCAAGTGTAGCTTCTGGTTACAGGAGATTGAATTTTTGGGTCACGAGATACCAGCTCAGAGAATTCAGGTAGATCCAGCTAAGATCGAGACGGTCATGGATTGGAAGTCTCTGACCTCTGCAATAGAGATTAGGAGTTTTCTAGGACTCGTTAGTCATTACCGGAGGTTCGTGTAAGGTTTTGCTAAGATAGTCTGACCCATGACAAAACTGAGCGGAAAGAATGTCAAGTTCGAATAGACTACAGAATGCGAAGAAAGTTTTCAGGAGTTGAAACGGAGACTTACCTCATCACCGATCTTGGGTGAGGGTGTGAGGGTAGACCGGAGAGAGAGACAAAACTTTCTTTCAATTTTTTTTTTGTTAAAGGTTGTGTATTATCATTTAAAAGAGTAAGTTTACAAATATGTCCCACAATAATGGTAGCCTGAGTTTTTTTTTTTTTTAAATGGTAGTCTGAGTTTTGATCAGAAGACTTTAGTATCCAAAAAGCGAGGGAGAGTTAAGGATCCAAAAAGCTTTCCTTCTACTTCCATTATTATTATTAATCTTATATTCAACCTTACCCTTTTTTGTTGATTCCTTCCCCAATTAGTAAATGATGAATTATTATTATTATTATTATTATTATTATTATTATTAGGGATAATCACATAAAAATACCCGAACTTTTACAAAAATCTCAAATAAATACCCGAACTATAAAATTGTCATATAAATACCTGAACTTTTCAAAACTCCCACATAAATACCCAGACTTTTAATTTTTTTCCAAATCAAACAAAGCAACTGCTGACTCAGCAAAAAACTGCTGACTCAGCAAAAAAACTGCTGACTCATCATTAAAAAATATTATTAAATATCTAAATATTCATCTACATATATTTAAATTAATATATGTATATAAATTCACATATATATACAAATATATATATATATATATTAAAAATAAAATTATTTATAATTAATAAAATACATATACACATAACTACAATATATATATATATATATATATATATATATATATATATATATCATTAC